TGTTCTGGTCTGTTCAAGAACATCACGCATCAGGAGCGTAGAACCGCCTCAGTTGCGCATTGGCCGTATTTGGCCATACGCTGCTAAAACTTGATGAACAGAACCGTTTAATAGGATCCGCTAGCAGATCTTTATTAGTGTGAAGACTACATAGTTGCTGAGCATGCGAGAGATATGATTCTTTTCTTACGGCGCATCTCACATCATAGATCAATTGGCACTATTGGCGATAAGAGGAAAGATTCGCCAAACTAAAGGTATCAATTTGGAGCAAAAATAACTCAGCTGCGCCTCTAGATTTCGTGTGTTTTCTTTTTTAGTGAATTACGGTCTAAAGAAAAAATGTTGAAGAATTCAAACCCTTCCAAATGTGCCGCTACCTAGGTTTCCAATCAGGTTCGCATTTTACTTAAACCTGGAGGCGCCAATAATACTCAAGGCCGTGTCGAAGAATTCGCAGACATGTCTGATTTCAACCAGTTGACCTTGGATGGTGAAAGGCTCCATTTAGCTGAGCGCGATTCGATCATATCAAAGTAAGATATGGTTTCGCTTTCATAAACACTCTACAGATACGAGTCTTCTTTCAGCTGAAGACAAAAAGTTTTTGTGCGAAACAGACTTTCAAAAATAAAATTCAGCATGCAAAGAAATTTTTATCGATGCTCCGCTTGTACTATCACAAAACTTTGGTGTTGTCCTGAATAGGTAGTTTAGTGGATTCGAGAGCCGTACCACTGAAGAAGAAAGGGAGCTGGTTGCGTAATCCAGCAAAAGAAATGGCACACTATTCATGAGCAGTGGGTTGAAAGCGAAAAGCGAAAAAGTCGCTTACTGTTCTAAGGACTCACACCCTAATACACGACCAGGATCTTCACGTTTACTTGAAAAAAATTGCGAGTAGCTCAAAAAATTCATGGAATCAAAGCACTGAACGGCAAACTATAAAGTTTCGGAGAAAAAGGCAATATTTTCTGCTACAAAAACAAAAATACAACAAAGGTCTGCGCGGTTAATAAATCTCAAACTGAGGCCAGTTGGTCAACCGATTCTGCTAGGATTCTGAAATCTCAAAATATACCCAGTTTGAAAAAGTGAAACTCAACGCATCAGTGTGAGTATCACGTAGCGTACAAAGTCGTCTGTCTTTTGTTCACGAAGAAAATTGATTCTTTTCGATTAAAGAGTGTTAGTTGTCACATGGTGCGCTGAGGGAAAAGTCCCAGAAGAAAAAACACATAATGCTGACGCAATCGGGCGTGATGAAAGCTTTCGGTCACAGAGAAAAATAATCCCAAGAGCGTATTTCCACTTACTTGTGCGCAGTGAAAGTTTCCGCTCAAACAAGCACACAAACGCCTGTGCCTTCAGAATTCATTTAAGAAGCAAAAACAGCGAGTTTTAAAGAAACATCCACTGCCAATTCTTTTTACCAGGCAGAGCGCTACAGGGAAAGAAAAGAGTAGCGTTGTATTTGCTGCAGATAAATGCCATAAACTTGCGATTTTTGGCTTTCATGAATTCTTCACCTAGACCTCAAATTCAAAACAAAAATCAGATATGGTTGGGTCGAGAAAATAGCACACGATCCTAAGAATGATGAAACACCAATTAATACGAAAAAATGGGGCTCTTGAACAAAACAGTTCAATAACGCACCTCGTCCGTGTCACATGAAGAACTGGACATCATCGATGGTGGCGCCTCGACGGACGATGCACTAGCAGTCGTCGCCGGTGTGGTAGAGACGCTTAGCGGCGGGTGTGATGATTTGCGCCATACAGGCGACGACGGCATCGGCAACGTTCCCAGATGAGGACTTGAGTTTCGACGCCACTCCACAACGGACATTAACCTTAAATTAGCAATTAAAAGCAATGCAAAAGAAAGCAAGAGAGAAACTTCACGCACGAATGGCATAACAATAGTGAAATGCAAGTAGAAATGAGCTAGAAGTAACTATTCCTGTTAGCGGCATTACAACTAGTATCTTCCTAACGAAAACAGGAGTTTAAAGTTTTTTGTCCATGGGTATCGATTTCATTTCAAATCGTAAACTAAGCTTTATAAGTAAAACTTGGGGAATTGAACAAATGGTGCAGACGTTATCGACATGGAATCCGAAATGAATGTGGGCCATCAAATGAACGACCGTGCGTGCTTTCAATATGAAATATTATAAGCATCAATAACGGAGCAATAGATTGGTATGTAACTATAAACCAAAGCATGACTAAATATTCGGTAGGAATCAGGCTTCGGTTCGCTCGCAAAAGCTGTGAGCAGGTGACTCATAGATTCGGTAGAGAAAGTCAGGCTGGTCTCGCAGAAAAAGGTGTGAAGAACTGAAAAAAAACAGAATTCTGGGCGCCAGCCTGGTGCCTTCGCAACATGTAGAGTACATTAAACGTGCAGCCAAGTATGCACTGAATGAACAAAAGAAGAATGTGATGCGAAATTGAGGAGAGGAAGTATGGTGGACAAAGCACCTGGGAAAATTTACGCAGAAGAGATATTCCATGTAGCGAAAATTGATTACAGGAAGCGACATTTACTTCAACACAAAAGCTCCTTGAAGCATATAATTAAGGGGGCAAATGGAGTGGTAGGAAATGCAAAATGAATACAGAAACTCCAGAAATGGGCGCAAAATGAGCTCATATAGGCAGATATGGTAACGCCACTTTGTCTTGTCATTCGACGGAACAGATTATGCTATATAATAAATTAACCATAACCTTAGCAATAGGAAGCATGTAATCAATTTGATGTAAAGTGAATACATAATCGAAAAACCTCAATACATGAAGGTAGCGTTGGATTGTCTCCACGGCCGTCTTAGAGCAGGTTCATAGTTTTGCAGTACGCGTGAAAAGTAGATACGAATCAACATTGGGACCATGCGTGGTTGATACGCACATTCTTCGCGCACGATCGCGCGATGGGAAAGCATAATTTGGCCCTGATAGGGAAATACCAGGGCTTGACAAACTACTGTCTTTGAGCTCACAATTATTCATCCGAACACTGAAAATTTTTATGCCGATACTGTAATCCCTTTTTCGAATGAAGACATTCAGAGCCTTTTCGAATCGAAAATTCATCCTGAATGGAATGCCGTCCAAAATTCTTTCAGGTGAGCAGCAGGTATTTCCTGATATATTCAGCAGTATTGTATAAATAACAAGCAAAAAAGAAAAAGGGAGAAATTCGAAAAGCCAAGAGTACTCCCATATTTTAGAGGTCCATGGGGGTCTATCTGGTAAAGAAACTGTGCGCTTACACAGGGTTCTTAAGGAGAAGTTATCCACTTTTTTGCAGGGGAGGGAAGCTCCGGGGTGCGTGTAAAAGCTTAAGCGAAGTGGTTCACGCACCTGGGATTCCCTCCCCTTGCAAAAATTATAATTTCTGTAGCAGGCAAAAACCGTAGCCCACATGCCCCCCCACATGCCCTTACCTACTAATAATCGTGCACATCCTTATTAACGAAGCGTAAATGAATGTAATCGCTATACTAAGATGTTTCCAATTCACATATTAAAGAATTATGTGACACAAAGTAGGCGAGAAATGTTACTCCATGGAATGTGCACCAACTTTGAAATGCCACAGATCTTACTAATTCAATAATAAAAGTATGGGAACGAATTATTATTAATGCCGTTTCATGTTGGGTTAGTTGATCAAAGTTTTGAACTGAGTCCGCGACAGCATCTTGAAATTCATATAGAAATAATGAGGAAAACGAATGATAGACAAGGCTCTAATATAGTTGGAGGAAGCAATGTTTTTATGCAGGTGATTGATATGACTTTAATTTTGAAGAACCATTCCCTTGAGCAAAAAGAAAGCACGTATAACTCCTTCCAGACCTTTATTAGATATTTTTCTTGGTGAAATTCTAGATTCTGCGCACTAAAAAATCCTTAATCTGTACAGAAATAAACCCAAAGAATAGAGTAACAAAAAAACTAGCAAGGTTTGGCTAAAAACACGGCATCACTTAATTTGGGCGTCATTCCAAATGCGTCTTACGTATCACGCAGTTTTCTGATCTGATGCATTTTATTAGACGTCATCTTGTTTTAAGCTGAAAAAAACCGTTTTGATGAGGTTGTGAATGTTATCGTTCTGTATTTTGCATTAATACAAGAACAGTAGAAGTCATGGTTCCTATGTCTCATGGTCGGTCTAATGGTTTCCCACTGTATACAGCCATAAAACGAGTAGGTAGAATATAGGTCCTTAAATGGTAGTAAATGGAAATTCAATCCAAAGAATTAACCTTCAAATTAACAGCAAAGTAGAAAGTGGAGATGGGAAGGCAGAAGAGGATATAATAGTCCGTGAACAATCCAAGAAGAGTTAGGAAAGGTTTTGCTCGAGTAAAAAGAAGGAAGGTTTACATCCAGTAAAGAGCGCGGGAGGGGGAGCAGTTGCTGCCTGCCGCCTGCAGAAATCCCAATTCTGGCAGAGAGGGAATCTCCTGAATGAATTAAATATTTCTTTCACATTTTTACTACTCCCCCCCCACCTCCCGAGTTACTTTAGGCGATACACACTGTCGCATCACATGCCTCCTCTGACTGGATGAGACCCGAATGAGTGATGGACCACTCGATTGTGGCTCTTCCTGCTTCCTTCAGGGCCAGACGCTTAGGTGGTCATCCCGAACAGTGAGACAGTGGGGTAGCGGGCGTAGTCATAGACTACGATAACAGATAAATAAGAAACTGTGTCAAGGCAAACACAATGTTGGTCATGTGACCACGTCCAAGTTTTTCTGACCTATAAGGCCAAATTACGGTGGATAATGGATAATACCGCTACACTATTAAATGAAAGCTGAGGCGCGTCAATGAAAGAGATAGATTGTCATGGTTAGGCTTATTGAGCTTCTTACCTCGGAAGGAAATGAGAATTTCGCTGCCATCTAATGAATAGCTGGAAACGACAGTCAAGAACTACTGGCAGGCTAAAGTAATGAACAAATTTCCGGGGACTGCATCATTTCAGCAGTAAAAAACTACTGAACGTCTGAACTGACCCTCGAAGGCGCACTGGACTAGTTGATCTTCACTGAACTTTTCTGCCAAGAAGTCGGAGTTGAGCTATGCCAAGAAGCGCCGTTACATGCGCGATCAGCAGAGGAAGTCAAAACCAGCGATGACGTAAGCAAACCAGCCCTTTTGGCGTTTCTGCTGGGACCGTATGCTGAATGTTGGGGAGGGGATGGGGTCCCCGACGGTCGACGGACTACTTCAACTCGGTCCTTAGAACCGCCACAATTTGGTGCTTACCTCAGAACTAAGCCTTAAAGAGAGGACGGGTCCGTCCCCTCTCCAAGGCTTAGTCCTGGGGTGAGCAAACCAGCCCTTCTGGCGGAGCTGCTGGACCAGCTGCACCACTTCGTCATCACTCTCCTATCGTACCGAACCGAGTTGAAGTAGTCCGTCGACCTCGGGGACCCCATCCCCTCCCCAACATTCAGCATACGGCCCCAGCAGAAACGCCAAAAGGGCTGGTTTGCTTACCTCGTTAAGCGATCCTCATGTCCAGGTAGGGTCGATCGGTTATGTTCATAGAGGTAAAACACCACTGTCGTAGCTGTCGACCCCAAGAACTGTGTGTAAAGGTTATAACACATACAAATTGCGACTCGAATGCGTGGCTTATTCTGAAGATCATAGCTGGGCAGTGATAGCCGAATGGTCAAAAGTGTAGCCTCATATCTGCACTTCTGAAAGCCGCGAGTTCGATTTCTTCCAACCTAATTGCCGAAAGCAAGTTGTCAAATGTTCGACGTTAGCACAGATAAGGATGGTAGACAGTTCATGGCTAGAGTCAGACGACTGAGGGTTACCTATCGGCGGGCGTGCAGAGGCACGAGCGACGAGGGTACGGCCCCGCTGCTAGGCCACTGGGCATATTCGTTGCTGCAAAACGCGCATCGTCCCACACCCTTATAAATTCCGTCTACCTTTCGTATGGATATATTTCCTCTCCTCCGACCTCCAACCTTGTCATGGAATTCTTTAGGCCGATGTCAGACTGCAAGTCGAGCGATTTGTCACTTCGCGTACAGCGAATGGCTCGCTTCGCTGTACGCGAGCCACCGCGGACGCTAGCTAATCGTTCGATTCGCGGAGGTTGATCACATTAGAGGACGCAATGTGGGAATCAAGCAAGGAGTGGTTCAAAGAAAGGAAACTCCTTGTGATATGGTCAAGTGTAACCATTACATCTAGTAAGTGACTCTAACCCGTTACGAAACTGAGCATCCATTGCTGCGGAGTACTTTCCAAGAGGTAAGAGATTGAGTGAATACTGCAAAATACATATGGGGTGAGAAACTCCGGGTGGGGGAGGGGGACCTCTGTTATCTTATCCGTGCACTAGAAAAGACCCTTGGCGTTCAAACAAATGTGGATAAAATAACAGATCAGCGCATCATTTAGTGTAGTTTTGACGGTTCATGTGACGTCACATACATCCTTCTCACTTCTACGCAATATTTGAGAGTGGATCATCACGCCGAGGCTCTCACACTTAGGCCTAGGTAAGGATGTTCCAAATGCCCTAGTTAGAACCATTTCCAGCAGGCGAAATCTGAAGACATCTGGAGCTACTTCACCCGTATACGGCACCTTATTCAGAAGGACACGTTGATGAATCGTATTACGTGGGATGGAAACTCTTTTCCTTATCCTCAGTATTGGAGAGCACAATGGTAAGGTCCCTTAGAGCTGGAGTTTCACCATAAAAATGTTTTGTCAAAAGTCGATGGATCTCTCCCCTAACAAAAGCAACTAGAGAACAAAATCTATAGAGGATTAAACAAAACAGTCATT